ATTATAATTTATTTGAACATTTTTTGTGATACAATAATTTAAAACAAAATAATTAATGAGTAATTATCACATTTTAAGTTATTTCATTCTCCCACCATGGCTTAAGTAAAGGAACAGTGCGATGGCATGTTTTAAAACTGTTTTATTTCACTCAAAAATAGCTTTAATAAGGCTAATATTTCATTTTTTTTATTTTATTATAAAAAATTATCTCTATTGCATTTAATAAAGCATGCAAATGTATAAAAAAAATTGTTTTAACCTATTATATTAAATATTAATATAACTACCCTAATTTTGTTAGTTTGCAATTTTTTAGAATTTATAAAACTTGAATTAATATGACATTTATAAAAAATTAAAGGGACAAGTTAATGGTTTGTAGATGGAACATTTATATTTTAATTAGATTTACGCAACGGGTTAATAATAGGGATCAAGCTCCCTTAAAAAGTGACACCGATAGAATTCAGAATTTAGAAATCCCCCTATGTTAATAAAATGAAAAAATTATGTGATATTCATAGGGTAGGTATTCCAAATTAGTGTTGTTAAATGGCTCGTGTTGAGCCGATTTTTTAAAACGGCTATCTCAATATTTTAACCAGAAAAATATTGCCTAAGCCTGGAGATTTCGATAATATATGTCTAGACCTTTGTTCCTTCTATTAGCAAAATCTTCAGGTTTTCGTAATATTTTTCTGGATGAAATATTGAGTTAGCCGTTTTTAAAAATCGGCTCAAAACGAGCCGTTTAACAACACTATTCCAAATATGACGGCATCCATTTTCGGTAAAATCAGATTTTTAAATTTTCAAAAACGCGCTCAAAAAATAATTTAAAAGTTGGAAAAAAATATTCAAATAAAAATGTCTTTTTTTGGAAACTAAATAATTTGAGTGTGTTCCGAAGAAAATTTTTTAATCTTTAAAATCATATGATAAAAAATTGATGACAGCAAAAAAAAAATAGAAAGCTACCGTTAAAACCAAATCGAAATATCGATAGACATTTTTTGCAAATAACAACTTTAAGATAATAACCCAACTGAAAGAAATTTTTTAATTGGATGAAATATAAAGTTATACACGTAGGAAGGATTACGAGTCAGAGAGATATGAGTTATGGTTAATTAAAGATTTTAGAGATATGGCATTAGGGTTAAGATATATTAAAAATTGGGTTTTCATAAAATATAATCATTTTATTTAATATAACTTGGCAAATCTGACATGTCATGGTGGTTAAAAATGGTCTAAAAATAAGTAAAGACTTTGAGCCGGGCTAGGGCCCTTATGGATAAAAAGGAATTATTCCATTTAGTCTCAAAATTTCCCGAGAACTTATATGTTACCGCTACATGCGTAATCAGGTAATATGCGCATAGGGCAAGTATTTCATATTGCAAATCCATATCCAGGAAAAATCAAATTATTTTTAACAAAAAATTTAAAAAAAAAACGAGTGAAATAAATTATTTAAAGTTTGGAATTAAAAAGTAATTAGCTGAACATGTTTTTAAAATTTGAAGATTCTAATTCTGCCGATAAGATATTCCAGTATGTATTAAATACCCATCCTATAAATTTCGAACAAATTGGTTTTTGAACCTTTGAGTTATTTTTATCCACTAAAATTATAGGGGATTGACTGAAATATTTAAACTATTAAAACAGGCAATATGTGAATAGCCTTATTACGACATTTACGATAGATAACATGCTATATTAACCAGATAAACCAATAAATATATTTATATTTTACCTTTTAAAAGCTGACTAATAAATATTATACTATAAAGTTATAGTAACCATTCAAAATCGATATAAAAAAAGAGATAATTATATAATGGTTTGAAAATATCATAACAAACTCAAGTAAACCCCTTGTACTATTTATTATTGCCCTGTCTATTTCATACAAAAATTCGGGGATAAATTTGCTATGATTTAATTTCATGTCAAATAAAAAGGGCTAAAAAAATTTTATATTAATCAAAATAATTTAGCATCCTTATGTAGCCCTAAGCATTAATCTATATTAATCAACTTAAAATAAAATCTTTATCCATTATAGTTATTGATCCATGCTTTATTTATTCGTTTTCTGACATCCCTAATACTAATCAATTTAATTTTTCTTAGAAAACATAAACAATTAGTAATTGTAATCATTTACAATGATTAATGATTTTTTTTTTCAATAATAATTAATGCATTTATCTTTATCATGTTACGTCAATGTTAAGTTGTTAAAATACAACGATATAATTATGGGATTTTCGGTGAATATTCTAAAACTCTGACATTCTTGTTAAATGGTAACATTATAATAAGTTTTCATAGATGAAGTATACATTAGATTAATAAAATATAAAAGTTATATATATTTTTAAATTTTAGATTGTAAGACTTTCTACATTTGAAAATAATTAGAAGAACTCTATTTCTTTAATATTTCTTTTTCTTTCTTTCTTTCTTTCTTTCTTTCTTTCTTTCTTTCTTTCTTTCTTTCTTTCTTTCTTTCTTTCTTTCTTTCTTTCTTTCTTTCTTTCTTTCTTTCTTATGATCACTTGATCTTAACCTAATTTTTTCTTTCTTTCTTTAAGATAGAAATTCCTGCTGCTTATATACCTAATCTCATTTTTAATATATAATAATAATATTATATAGTATAATATTATTAAGAATATTTTCTTTTGTCTCTTATAAAAAATTTTATTTTTTAAAGAGGGCTTAAAATCCCCCTTCCCCACCCCCTTCAAACCCTTCTAATCATTAAATCAATAAATGACACCAGATTTATGACAAATAATAAGATAAGAATATATATATATAACTTAAAATAATAAGAAAATGGAATTAAATTATATAACAAAAAGATTTATGGCAAAATATCATTTTCCTAAATCGATATTTAAATATCCAAAATTTCTTTTTTTATAGAATATAATAATTCGATGCTGTGTTATCGTTTACTTTTTTAATAATATTTTCTCCTTACGAAGATTGTGCCTTTATGGTATTTTGTAAACAATATTTAAGACAATTGAACAAAAGAAACTAATATATAGCCAATGTTCGAAGATTTTTTAGATTTTAAATTTATTAATAAATATTCAAATTAATATTCAAAAAAAAGTTTAACATAAAGAGCTTTAAAATAATTTTTTTCAATAGCTTTTTGGTCATTTTTTTGTTATGTCCTCTAAAATCTGAATTTGGAAAAAAAATAATATTTATTAATAAATCTTTAGAGAATTAGGAATTTTAAATTCCATTTTATTTGATAAAAAAAAAATAATAAATTTATACGATATTTTTCAGCGATCGCAGGTTCGGACCTAAACCCGGTGAGGCCGGGCAAATGGGTCAGTCTGTATAAATTTTTTTCAAAATAAACCAGGGTCAGGCCTAAATCTTTTTTCTATAAAACCGGGCGGGTCAAAAATTATTAAACCGGGTGGGGCCGGATATTTTAAAACTCGAGTATTATCATATATAATATTTAAAAAAATATTTGAAAATGTATCATTCATTCATTTCTCATGTTTCCTATTTTCATTTCAAAACAACACCATTTTAATTTTCTCCTTATGTATACTACTTTACTATTTATGTGCAAATAAAATAGTCATAAATTTAAGGAGATTTAATTTTAAACAAAAATTATACATAAACTATACGCAAGAAAGAAATGTTTAGTATTGAATTTGCATATAACAATTAATAACCAAATCCACACTTATATGAATAACTTGCAATATAATCAAACCACATCATTTTAATTTCCTTGTGTACATTACTGTATACTAACTAAACTTAATTAAAAATCAGAATATTTTCTTAGTCATTATTTAGCTTCCAGTTCCTATTTAGTGATACTTATGATTTTGCTTATAGATAGCAGAAATGTTTGGACCTATATTTGCCAAATTTTCGAGGGCTTACATAATATTATTTTGGCCAAACAATTAATCAGACCGTAATTAAAAATCGATCCGAATTGGGTCGTACAACATTATAGTGCACACAAATTGAGCGTTTAAGTTTTGCCGTAATTTTTTAATTAAAAAAACCTAACGGATCCCTTGTTTAAATTAAGGTTGCCTTTTTATTAATATTGTCGATTCATAATTTTAAATAAGATCTAAAAAAAAAAGGATTTTGAAAATTATAATATCGTCTGCTTTCTTATTTCTTTAATTTCTAAATATTCCTTTTTAGAATATAAGTAAGTTATTATTTATATAATATTACAAAGCGAAGAATAAAAAAATTAATGTAAACCTAGTTTTTAAAATGGTGGCTAACGCCGCCGCGCTTGCAACGCTGCGGATGAAACGCTAAATTTGTGCTCACTGCTCCTATTTTTTTCCTTCTTAATATTTAGCATAACTTTTGGAGCATACCTAATTAAAGATTTTATTTAAAACTTATAATTTAATCCTATTTTTATTAAAATAAGGGAAAGGGGAAAATACAAATTTTTTTTTGTAAACTTTCATTTTGATAAATTATTTCAAATTATCATCTTTAAATTATTTTTCTTTTAATTACATAATTTATTGTCGATAAAGTGAATTCAAATTAGATAATATTTTCTGTGTGCCAATTTTATCTCTTTTTTTTAAAAAAAAATTATTATATTTATCTATTTTCATATCAAATATATATATTTTTTTCATAATTTTAAAGTGTAACAATAAAATTTAAATAATTACTGTCATTTAAATCGAATATATAGATCGAAGGACAGTTTTAGGATAAGGCTATACCAGAATGTTCTAGATTAAAAAACTATAAATTATATTATTTATTATAAACTAATAGGACAGGGTAAAATTTTAAATATATTATATACAAACGAGGGTACGCAGACGATAAATAATTTTTTAATGTGCAAATGCTAATAAATACCCATATTTTTGAAATTTTTAGCTTGCTAACGTTTAGCTTTTATTTGAATTATATCCTAGCTTAAAAAAAATATTAAAAAGGGGAGCTCGGCAAATTGACGACGGCCGATAAGGAACCTAGCGAGGAAGAAATGAAAAGAGCCGCCGAGATCGAAGAAGCGAGAAAGGAAGCAGAAGAAAAAAGGAAAGAAAAACACAAGAAGATGGAAGCCGAAAGAGAAAATATGAGATCTGGCATACGAACCAAGGTATGACAAAGTTTATTATGAAAAAAAAATTCTTATTTTTATAAGTGGAGATAAAAAAAAAATTTATGTGGGAACTGACATCCATTCCATACAGACGAAAATAATTTTTTTAAATTTTTGTTTCCGTGAAAGTTTTGCTAAACGGCTCGATTTTCAAAAATGGCTGACCCATTAGTTTAGCTAATTGTCTAAACATTTCTGTCATCTATGAGCAAAATCTTCAGGCTTGCGTAATATTATTTGGCGAAGGGTTATCCATTTTTAAATCGAGCCGCTTAACAAGTTAGATATCCCTCCGCTCTATCAATCGATCAATGCTTTCCACGTAATCATTTCCCTCCTTTTCAATTATTTACGGAGGGATGGGGTTGATTTTTTTTTTAAAAAAGGATTTAAAAAAAATCCCCCATTTATGATATTAAGAAAATAAACAAAAAATTTATTATCAATTTATTATAGTTCCGGATATTTGAACTTAGAATCGACAGGTAAAATATTATAGAACTAGTTGAGGTCTCCGGAAAATTCCAAAGCTCGCTCATGGCATTCATGATTTAGTATGAGTGATTAGAGTGAATTGAGAGAGAAAAACGATTTTTTATGTATTTGCTTGACTTAAGAATTTGGGCAACAAAACTGCTTAAACTAATCTCGCTATTAATTAACCTTCATTTCAATTCTTTCTTTTTTAAAAAAAAATATCAGATTTTTAATATACAATAAAACTTGTCTATTTTGTATTCTTGATAATAAGGGACAATTTCCTAATTTAAGCAAAATTTTGAGTCCCAATAAAATTACCAATCAACTACTATTAGTCTTGATAAAATTGGGCATCTGTCTAAGTTGAGCAAAAGTATTAACGGTGCCCCAATTAGACAGGTTTTACTGAATTATACAGATCGATTTTTTTTTTAATACTTGCCTTGATTTCGCTTTGCTAAGATTATATCACGAAAAAAAAAAAATTATTTTATATAAAAAAAATTTACATAATTTTACGAACAAATTTATATATATATATATAATAGATCCTATTTAAATTTAATTTTTCCCCTTCTTTCAATCTTAGGAAAACTGATAAAATACGCGTTTCGTTTTTTTAAAATAAATATTAATCTCATAGAGAAGAGAATAATGACCTATAATAATAAACACTTTCTAATCTTGACCAATCAGAGTCTCCGGCACTAAACTTTAATAGCCAGGAAAATATTGCCTAAGCGTCGAGATTTCGCCAATAGACGTTCAATCCTACGTATGAGCGAAATCTTTAGGGCTTGCATAATATTTTTCTAAATAAAATATTGAGTTTACCGTTTTTTTAAAATAGGCTCAAATTGAGCCATTTAACAACACTATCTGGTACAACAGGAACGGTGCTACGACCTTTTGGGCGGCCTAGAGAAAATAAATTCGGCGGCGATTAAAGGTTTTTAAAAAAAAGAGACATTAATATTTAAATATCGTTTCTGGAACAATATTGGTTAATAATTAGCTCCCGTTAGATCTACAATGCCCGGCACACCCATTATGAATTTTCGCGAGAGCATCTCGGTCCGTTAGATTTTTTCCACAGTCCGGCCCATTTTTTTTAAAAGATTTCCCGGTCAGCTAGCTTACGAATAGCCTACTCCTGTCAGTGTTGCTAAACGCTATTTTTAAAAGTAGAGCGTTATCGCTATCGCTATTTTTTCAAAAAAGTAGCGTGCTATTAGCTACTATTTTTTACACTACTTTAGAATTTTTTTAAAAATATTTCTAACGTATCTCTATTTCCACATTTATTGCATTTCAATAATAATAACATTTCCATACTGTCATCCCCAAACCTAGAGCGACGATCAGAATGTTTAAGCTTTGACTAATGATTCAACCTAGCATAATTTAACATAATTTTTATATAGGAAAAACTATCAAAAATAATAATTTGAGTATTTTTAGATTTTAAAAATTATGCGTCTAGAAGATTTTCAATAGTCTTGTTATTTATTTCAAAAAAATCATTTATATTAGGTAGCGTTTTTGATCTGGCTAGGGTCAGTCTAAAATTATAACAGTAATAGTTAGAATACGAAATTATTTAGGGAATAAGTGGCATAAATTACCAAGGTTTGCCTAGCCAGGCCACCTCCCTTTAACTTTTTATCAATTGAACCAATTTCTCTTAAAATTCGTAGATTGAAATAAGTATTTAGCATTTAATAAAAATTTATAAATATATTAGATAATAAGGTTAATTAAGCATGTTTAACATCCAATAATAAAGTTACTAATAATTTAAAAAATATTATTATTAAATATGAGTCTGATGAGAAAATGAGAAGTTAACATTAATTATTTATTGTAATTTTTAATATAATCTTCATATCCTATGGTCAGTTGGAACATACCATGTTTGGACTGGGCCAGAAAATCAACTTTCACACAAACTCATTTAGCTCAAAAACTATTATAGAAGCATCTTTAATTCAAATTTATTTTAAAGATTATAGACATTGATATTAAATATGTTTGATACATTTTTTTAAAACTAGTTTTATTTGGCACTCTTACAACGAAATCTATACCCTGTGTTATTATCTTTAATATCAATCTCTATCATCTAATTGTGAAATATTTTGATCTGGCCATCATATTTTTAATATCTATATTATTTTTTCCCCCAATTTACTATTATTTCTCACCTCTATGGCTAATTTATACAACAACAATTAAATTTTAATACCCTCTTACCGCTATGGAATTATTGTAATATTTATATTACTTCGTAATGAAATATGAAATCCATAAAGATTCATATTCTCTCAATTTTTAAATCCTTTACTTAGGGTTTTTACATTTAACACTGTGATTTGACCGGATATTTCAACATGTGTAGAGTAAATTGTGTTTGATATCTGTGTTTGTAATTGGATCTTATTATAAATAATTTTATTAATTTTTATATTAATTTACCATATTATTTATAAATTTAGTATTTTAGTTAAAGTCGGCTCTTAAAATACCAAGAAGTAAGAATATTGTGATTTATTTTAAAATAGTATTAATTCAATCAAAATCAAAATATTAGCATTGAAATTCAAAAAAATAATTTTACACGTCCAAACTACCCATTTATTCATAAAAAACATAATCTAAACAGTATCATAAACGGTAATATAAACAGTACTATTAATAGGTAAACACATAACCTATAACTGAAATCTTCACAATCTCATTCATTCTTTGTTCTTCACCAGATGGCATCACGTGATCTCCCCTTCTCCCTTCTTCCCTTAAGGAAAATTAATTGTTCATGTCATAAAAATGGCTGACATTTAGTATATTATATTAAATTTATTTCTTCTTTTTTATAACTGCAACAATAATATCTCTAAATTTTATAGCCCGTGGCTAGCCTATTAAAATTAGACAGAAAAATCAGAGATTTGCGATGCCTTGTTTGATTTTACATACTTAAATTTATCCAGCCTGCACAGTTATAAATTTTTATTCTTATATTTGATAATCCTAAAGTTTTGGTTCTAAACTCTTAATAAACATTTTTTTTAAATAAAAAATACTTAATTAATCCCTCTAAAATGAATCACGGAAAAAATACTTAATATACTTCTCTTTCTTTATAAATTAGAGTAAATAATCGCTGTCTGTTGGAACGGTTCCCTTTCTGATTCACTGGGATTTTATAAGAGTTTTCGTTCAGTTCTGAGGGTTTGAAGATTTTTGTCTTCGATTCCAAAAAGTATAAATCATTCAATCTTCCAACTTTTTTTCAATTTTATTTTATTCCCCATACGTTAGTATAACTTGAAGAAAAAGGAAATACCCGTGGATGAAGAAGCCGCTTCGGGTATGAGCGGCTTGGGTAGGAAAAGGAAAACTCAGGAAGAATTAGCCAAGGAAAATCAAATAGATGAAGGTTTCAAATATCTTTCATTCTTCACAAAGTTTTATATTAATTCTTGTTAACCTACGTTATTTTTTGTCCAGGTTTTTATTATTATCCGGCCAAAATTCCTAAATATTTGCATCAAAGAAATATTGGTTGTAATTAGTTTAAGCGGGATATTTTTTTTTAATTTTTATTATTAATGCATACTTTCAATGTAGATTATTTTTTTTAAATAAAATCATAAAGATTTTAATTATTAAAAATTATATATATATATATTTTATGAAAATATTTTAGTGCAAATATATATATTTTCTTCAAAGATAAACCGATAATTGAACAAATAACGGACCAAATAACGCAGCTAACAGACAGAACGACCAAGGCATTCAACGAGCAATGCAGTATTACGTGATAATGAAATGTTTTCTTTTTTTTAGAAAATTCATCCATATATATCATTAGTGTTGTTAAACCGCTCCATTTTGACGATTTTATAACTATGGCTAAAATCAAGATATTACATAAAATATTATTATACTTAAACCTCGAAATTTGGCAAATAGATATCTAAACCTTTCTACTATTTGTGGGAAAAATATTGTAAAACTTGAGCTATTTACTTTTGGCTATGATCTTGAGTTAGCCGTTTAATAATAATCCACTAAAACGAGCCTTTTAACAACAATATATATGTATATATCACAACATTCCCATCCCCAATAATATAAATATTTTTTTTTTCTTCTTTAAATAAATTGTATTATTTATTGATGATCCTGTAATAAAATATAAAATTGATAAATATAATCGCAGTCGGATTTATATTCACATTCCTGTCACCACACAAAAATCTCTTTTTAAATTATGAGGTTTAATTTATTAAATTAAATTTTTTTTTTCTTTTAGGAAAAGATTTCATAATTTATTATTGCAAATTTATTTATATATTTATAAAATTTGTATAAAAAACTATTATCTGTATCTGTAGTATATAAATATACCTTATTTGTCTAAAAAAATATGGAGTCAAAATAAATATTTACAATTTTAAAAGATTTTGGCTTTAGTATTATGATTTTGACCAAAAACTGTATGGGTCGGGGTCTTTTTTTCTCAGATCTCCGTGTATGGTTAGTAAATCATAATTTTTCATCGATATCTTCAAACTTGAAATAATAATAATTACTTGTAACAAAACATAATATTAATTAAAGGGAGTTTAGCTTAGGCAAAGAACGACTCGTTATCTAAACGAAATATGTTAAATTTGCCCAGGACTAAGGTTTGGCTTTTCGGAATAATGATCCTTTTCGAAAATCAGCAACTCAACATTGAAACCATTTTTTACATAAACTGAGTTTATAGTTTTCATTTTATAGGCCATGTAGGGGAAAACAAAAATACTTAGATAACAAACATAGTATTAAGTATTCATTTTTAGATATAAATAAAATTTTGGTTCATTAAACGTATAGGATTGTTAAGATCAACCCAATGTCGATGATGAGTGGGCTAATCAGTGTGAATCGCATCAATGAAATAAAAACCTGTTCTTGTTTTGCTGAAACCAATTTTAATATTATAAGCTGAATTCCTCTACTCCCAGTGAAATTCAACTGACGATTTCTAGGGTTGCAAAGCAGTTAAAAGCGGAGGGGGGAGGCTCAGCATTTATTATCAAAATCGCTTCATAAAAAATAATAAAATTATATAGCCTAAGATCTCGCTAAAACGCAGATATGGGCTGGGGTTTACCCATTTGCTCGTTTGTTATTTTTGGTAATTTTTAACATCAACAACGCATAGAAAGATTGCCATTTCATGGCACCCATGAATCATAAAATTGGTGTTGGTATTGTGATAAAGGAGGAATTCTAAGGTTTAAATCGTAAGTTATAAAATAATTGATAGTAGATTGCTATGACAAAGTATTGAATTTTGTGTGCTTAAGGTTGGATAATCAGTTAATTAGACCTAATCTACAGCTCAGGCTAAAAAAATATCTCTAAGCATTGAGGCATGAGTTGACTTCTTTTTTCCAATTTCTTCGTGATTGAGTTATCTCTTCGAAGAAAACCCTGAGGCGTTAGTTTTCGGTTAAAACTGTTTGAACGTTTCTGGAATCTGCTTAAAATAGAACAATAACCTAACTATAAGGGTTATACTTTACAGGTAGGAATTACACCACTTTTGTTATTATGTAAAGTATGAAGAATATAAGAAATGATTCTTCCTAGACTGTTTGTAGATCGCATGGTTACAGACGTAAATTATGTATGACTCAATGAATGGGTTAACTATTAAGGGATGACTAAAAATAGGAATAAGACATATTTGTAATCACAATTGACCAGAGTTGACTTTGACGGGGTAGGGCTCGAATGCTATATATTCTCTACTTGAAATTTATAATTATATCTGACGCAATATTGTATGAATGAAATGATACATCATCTGGTGATCCGCCAGCCATTTTCTATAGGGTTGGACCTGGTATATTATTTTTTATGGGCCACGTTTGGGTTTACTATATTTCTCCCTCCAAATATTTAGTTGATTTTATAGATATTAGTAGGCCTAACATACATTAAAATAATTTTTTACAAAAATCGAAATTAACAAATTTAAAAGTGAAAAATGTAAATTATAAAAATTAGCATCTTAAACATTGGTTGGCTACCTGTGCTGCCAAATTAAAAATTTTTAGTGTTCCTTAGATTTGGCTATAAAGAAAAAAAGGAAGAGCAGCCTTGAAACACTGAAGATCACGAATATCAGTTGTCAGGATGGAGCCACATAAGAAGAACAGAATGCGAGCTTAAAATAGATGAACGTGATTCCAACGCGCTCACGGCAGGTTGTAGGCCAATTAAGATTAGTTAGCTTTTAATAAAACAAGCTAAACATATCTAACATCTGATACATAGGGATTAAGTTAAATAAGAATCCTTAACATAAATGTTTTAATAGATAGATTTCGCCAGAAACATCTTTAGAGAAGTGCTTCGAGAGAAATTAACATTCGGGGATATTTTACATTAATTATGCATTTCTTTCTTTCTGATATCCCTTTAGTTATATTATAATCATAATTTTAGATAATAATCAAAATAATATTATTCCGATATATAATTAATTTTCGCATCATTTTATAGGAAAAGGGAAAACTGTTATTTTATGATAATATAAATATTGTATATAAAAATAAGTGTCCAATGATTTATTTGTTGAATTGAAAATATAATTGAGAAAAAAAAAATGGTCAATTATTTTTTATAACCATATTTAAAAAAAAAGAAGATATGTTCTGTCATATATTCATTTTTGATTGGCGTGTGAATGTATTTGTCTAAATGAATAATTAATTAATAATAAATAAATAATCATGAAAATATGCTCCGGTAATAGAAAATTGGTCAAAAGGGGGGAAAAACAAATCGGAGCCTATAATTTCTATAAAAAGGGAATAATACATGATAAAATAAATAAATTAAATGATTAGTTTTTCTAGATTTGCATGGCAATTTGAAGGACGGATCTATGTGTGGCATTTTGTTTATATAAGTCATCACCTATTAATCAATGACAAAATATGTAAAATACTCATAATCAATTTTGTTATCAAAAAAACTGCGTAACAATTCATTATACTCTTTTCAATGCACGATGTTGTTAAACAACAATTTTTAAAAATAATGCATTTATTTATTTTCGATTATTTAGTTAAGTTAAGAATACGCGCGATTTTCCTGCGGAAAATGTTCAAAAAAATTTGAAAAATTCCCCCCTTTTTTTTGCTTTATTTACTCTTTTTTTAAATTTTTTTAAATATATTTCAAAGGGGCGTTGGAAAAAAAATAATATATTCTTAATAAAATGCGGAATCATTTCTAATGGCGATAATTTAAAGAATATATATATATATATATAATAAATGTCAAATAGACCAATATTTTTGATTTTCAATGGCTTTTTAGTAATGGATGAAAAAAAAAATCAAAGGAATTTAAGGATCGTAATGTATATCGATAATTGAAATCGTTTATAAGTAAATTGCGCAATTAAAATTAAACAAAAAAAAATCCCTCTTCATATTTTATTATTACAATCGTTTCGAGCTTTGAATCACGGGGAAATATATAAATGCTTTGCGTAAAAAAAAATGTGATTTCAGATGAAGAATCGCGTTCACACTCGTAAAAAAAAAGAAAAAAACCCCAATTAGATTGAGAAATAAAGTTTTTTTCACTTTTTTTCGAATACTCAATAAAATAAAAAGGACAAATTCGTGGGAGAGAGAAAAATAAATATTAAGAAAAAATCACATCTTTTGCAGAATTTCGTATTTTTCTTTCAAAGTGCGACTATCGGATTTCAAATCTTTCTTCCTGCGGGATTCGTTGGCTAACTTCGCTTTTATTTCGTTGGCGCTCATATTCCAAGAATCCTTTTGAGAAGAAGGGGAACGATCCTGAAATGGGAATATAATAATTAATAATGTTTAGCCCTTAATTTTGTAAAATATCGCTTACATCTTCGTGAAGTTGTCACTCATTCCTGTAGTTTCATTTTTAACTCTAAGATGATATATTATAAGTATGAACTCAACGCCACTGCTACTGGTGGGAGGGTCTCCGCTAACCCTTAATGATCTAACATGTGATATAAAGTATGACCCACGTGAAAATTCCCGCCCATGGCTATTAAAAAGAATGAAGAGTATTTAATAAATTTGATATCGTGACTTTTTCCACCAATCAAATTGCATCTGATCTTAAGATGGCGATAAAAATATGTGTAATCGTATGTATACATTTTAACATAATTTTTATGATCTAATGAACGAATAAATATATTTTACCCCGTTGGTGAATGTCGATTTGTACGACGAGTTATCATCTGGGCTAAGCTTTTCACTCATTCTCTTATAAAAACTACTTTCCATTTTACTGTCCGAAACCTAAATTTATGTTTTAAAAAAATATAAAATATAAGGCGCAGGCGCAAAAAATTAATTTAACGCAACCCCCAAACTATGCGAACAGGATTAGAGAAATAAGTAATAGGATATTGAAAGGCAAGAGATAAAAATAAGTAATATTCAACTATTCCGGTTAGATTGATTCAAAGATATGTATATATACTACTAAATTGGCGATTCATTAATTAAGAGTGTAAATATATATAGCAGTCAGCTGTAGCGCCATTTTGTGGTTTGCAATTCAACAAATTGTTTTATTCGTCATTATATGAAGCAAGTTAATGGCATTTAATAGATGTGCAAACCACAAAATGGCATTACAGTTGATCCCCATGTGTGTATACTTTTAAATGCATGAATCGCCAATCTAATAGCATATACACATCATTGGTTTAATTACAAAAAAAAATCAATTTGTCCAACACATTATTAGAATCTATTCAATTTATATAAATATGCTTGCCAAACATCGTGCCGTCCTCCGATGAGCCTTCCATAGTCCGGGCTCTGCTCGATGGGAATTCGGTCAACGTGCACTAACCCATTGCTTCCATCTCCTTGGATCCAATCCGGAGTTCTTTCAGCAGCCACGTTTAGGATCTCGTCGCTATTTTATAATAATTCAATTTTAAATTTATGCGTGTGAAACCCTGTATTGCTTTTTTATGCAAAAGAACGAGTTTGGGGGCGTGTGGGTTGCTTCTCATAAAATTTTTAGAAACCGGAAACGGAACTACCTATTTTTTTAAGAAATAGTTAGAACCGAAGCTATTTTTAGTCCAGGTTCCAAACTCGCTGAATCTTAAACGCGATCAATATTTTAAACCCTTCTTCATCGTTATTTCGCTGGTCAACGATAGGTCTAGATTCGTGATTGACAGATGCCACGTCCTTAATGATGGGTGACGCTTCCTGATTGGCGTTTTTCTTATCAAAAGTGGAACGAGGGCTGGAGTACATTTCCACCACGTTTTCCGATCTGGCGTTAATGGGAATTTTGTTTACGGTGAAGTATTCGTAGTCCTTTTCATTAACCACTAGAAGACAAGTATTTTCTGGGTCCGTTTTTATCAGGTTTACCACCTTGAAATAGAGTATTTATTTGTGTGTTGGGAAGAAAGGGGGGGGGGTATTGTAGTTTAAACAAAATAACTATGGTTATAATTTAATGTGATTGACTAATTTAAATTAAGTTAATTCAAATCGTGCCCAGAATTATAGACTTTTATAATTTGACCACTCGGCACGTGTCTTATATTTTCTGGCCCGTGTTGGTATAATTCTTTTTGATTCTTGGACGGGTCGGTCGGGGCTAGCATATCTCTATATAATATAAGTAGGGGCCAACCTCTTTGTGATTCATGTCTTCCACGTTGACCTGGTCAACCTCTATAACTCGGTCCCCAGGGACAAGACCGGCAGCCTGAGCTGGGCTCTTGGGGTCCACGTTCCCTATAAAATGACCAATCTTTTCCACCGGTTTCCCATCGGGTCCTTGCTGGACCTCCGTCTTTCCAGCATGCAAATTGAAACCGTACCTGATATGGTATATAAATTGAATATGTTGATTTTTTAAAAAATTTTCTATTATATTATTTTTTCTTCGTGACGTCATAAGATTAGTTCGTGATCAATCTCATTACACTAAGAGAAAAGATAGATATGAAATAAGAGTTGTCTAGAATATAAACTATATCTACCCGTCAAAATTAGGCCATTTTTTGAGATGACACAATTTGACTTCCGGCAATTTATCATGGCCAAATTCTTCGATACCAATCATCTTGGGAACTTCTAGCTAAATATATATAAAACAAAGGAATTTAAATTGAAAATCCAATACTTAAAATCTATATCTCGTTGCCTGAATATTATTTATATCTCTAATCAAGAAATTTTTCAAAATAGTGATTTATTTAAACAAATTTTTTTTTAAATTTAGAAAAGTGGAGATAGAACCTTTTAGTCAATTATTTTAGTATGATAAAAGTGAGAGAAGGGTTGTTCACATGGTTAAAATTATAAATAGCTAAAAAAAATACCTTAAATTTCAAGTATCAGCACATGTTGTGTGCAGATGTATAGTCCGTCTAGTCTCTTTGCGTTAGAATGTATCAACAAATAATTTAATTATACTAGTATTTTATGCAATATTGTTTTTGACACCATAAAAATTGTAGAAATTATTTTTAAAGCTTAAAAGGAATTAGTCAAATGTTGATAAAGAATTTAATAAATTAAGTGATCGTTCAAGGCAAAGCTCAAGACAAGATCATCGTTCAAATATTATTGTAGATAGAATATAATAAGACAAATCCCCGTTTTTTTGTGTTGTTTTAAAACCTTGATTTCGCCGATTCAATAGGCTTATTTAACGAAAAGTCTGAAGGGGGGCTTAGGTTCTGCCTACTTCGGGCATAATCTCATAGGATATTCGCTAAATCGAATGAGAGGTTTTGATTCGTTCCTAGCAAATCTAATAATTATTTCCCTAATATAGGAGCACTCCAATTCTAGGCTGACGAATAGCACTTGTACAAATAAATGGCATTTTATTGTTTTTATAAGAAAAACTCGTATGGGAAGTGATACTTTAGAAAATATCTTCTAAATATTTACATGAAATTTGATTTGATATAAACTGATGAACTCGCTGAGAATTTATCTGATACTTAATTACATATATCCTTACCGGTTTATGTATAATGATATATGCAATATTTCTTAAGATATTTTTGCTTAATATTTAAAACATTAAATATAATTTATTATATATTAGAAATTGGATCATTTTTTTCTAATCAATAAATTCTTATTAATTCCTATAGATATGCTCCAAAAAATTAATATTTTTGCACAATACACACATTCATTTTGGTGATTCATAATAGTTAAGCATGATTAAATTTATACTTGATAATTTTACGAATCATTTTGATATTTAGTAATCGTCAAATTTTATAGTCGCTAGCTATAGTTGGGTAATTAAAAAATATTTTTTTAGTTGTTTAAGCCAATTTTTAGCCGAATAAAAAATCGGCTAACCCGAGTTGTTAGCGAAACCTATCAATTTGCTTTCAGGGTTTTTCTTAAAAATATTGCAGCTCAAATTTGAAAGTAACAGTTATGGATTAAAACGCCTAATTGTTAACGGATTTTCTAAACCGAATTAGCCGATATTTAGCCATCGCCCAACTATAGTCGCTATACAAGTCCTAAATTTATAATATTAGATGTTCAATAATAACTTTAATATAAAAAAAATTTTACAAATTATTCCCCCCCCCAAGCAAATTACTGGCTACGAGTTTTAGACTGAGAGAGTAAAAAATTAGGGAAGATGATAGGATGTGGTATGTAAATTCCAGAGGGCGCCCGGGGTATAATGGTCCAGGGAATAAGGTAAAATAAAATATCTATAAGGAAGTAAATATTCAGAATTAAGGTGGGCACTTATTGGAGGGGTGGTCGGCAGACGGTTGGCACAAGCAGTTAGCTAGTTGATTTCGTCTTTGGTTGGCCGATCCTTTTATATACATATTGCTGCTTATTATAGAAGCCTGCGCTCCGTTATCCTAGTCCTATTGAATGACTAGTCTATAAATTTCGACGGTAATAGTCGCTCTAACGTTTTTGTCAACTCTCTGGTGATTAGCAATCGAATCCCCAGAAGAGTGCCTTATTAGATTTGATTTCTAACGAACTCACAACAAATAGCACAATGTCCCTTTTTACTGCAACTATTACAGGCTTTATAACTAACTAGACATATCACATTTTTACCCTGATAACGACTACAATTACTGCAATTCAAGATTGGCAATTGGTTTTATAAATGAATTATGTTTACACTTTTCGCGAATTGTTTTTGGTGCAGTCACGAATACATAAGTAGTATTACTATAATAATAATAAGTCACCAACATTCAAAATTATGCAGATATTAAATTAGCTATTAATAACATAGAACAGACTTAGATTGTGAGATATTTTGATTGGAATTCATTTCTTCTCGTCTAAGAAAAATAATTTACACTAAAGATGAATTGAAAGATATAATCCTAATATTTTGGTACTAAGAATCTAGGAATATTAGCGCAATCTTGCTACCCAATTAAAATATACTCTAGCTCAAATATTTCTCTAGTTATGGAACTTCAAAGTTTGATGGGAGCCTTTTCCTCTTTTAACGAATCTCAAATTACTCAAAAAAATATTTGGTCTAAGGTGACAAATTAATTCTCCTTAGGAAAATGCAAAAATTATTTCAAAATATCTTCCGTGTCGTTGTATTTCTGGTAAAAAAAATTTTTAAAGTGCCTCATTTGGAGAAAATAAGAGTTTAAATTTTATATAGTTTTTCATGATTTTATTTTAGAAATAACAAAATCAATTCGAGTAACTCATCAAATATTTTTATTACCAATATATTGTAATATTTAAATATTATTTAGTGAATAAATAAATCAATCATAGAGGGCGCTATCAACAAAGTTAAATATAATAATATATTTTATTTTTTATTGGGGTACGAAAAGGTGTATATTTGAAAAATTTCTAGTGTAATATAGAAATTTCACTCTCGAGATTCGTTAAAAGAAAAATAAAAACTATCATCAATTTGAAGGTCCATAAACTCGAGATATATTTGAGCTAAAGCATTAAAATTTTGATTAATATAAAATATCTATTTAACTTCAATGCCAAGTTTCTTCCATTTTAAAAATGGACGTCCGAAAATCACGTTATCAAGTATGGAATTACTTCATTATCTTAATGCTATTTTATCGCTTAAAGCGACCAGCTGATGGTATGTATGGAATTGCCAGGTTTAGAAAGGCATCTTCGGGCCCAATCCTCCCAAAGGTCTCAATAGAAACAATAAGGTATTGACCTTTCTGTTTATTTAAAATTCTGGCACAGATGCTGGAGTGCACTAAGGGAGAAAAAAACTAATAGACCAATTATGTAAATAAAAACTGATGATTAATAAATAATTTTTTCTTCCTCTTTTACCAAGGTTAATAATGATTATAACAACCCATATGCTAATAAAAAAAATGCGGCAATTATGTTCGCGAGCATAGTAAAAATGAGATATGTTCAGCGAATAACTCGTAATAGTCAATAAAAAGATACATTCTGCTATTTGTTTCCAGAACATTAGCAAGAAGCTAAATCCAGTAAGGACTCTTCAAAGGATTCGATTAATAATTTCTGCAGAGTTGGTAAAAAAAAAAAAATCTTAGATCGAATCGCCAAAATTCACGGACTAGCCATTCAATGGGGCTATGATACAGGGTCGCAGGCTTTTATAATAGACAGCGATATGTACATAATAAAATCGGCCAACAACATAGCGACCATCCGCTGGGTGTATGGGGGAAAATACGAGTAACGCTTAAAATTAGGTGGGAAAATTAAGAATCTGTCAGTAATTAAACGAATACTAATGCCTAGTGTTGTTAAAAAGCCCGATTGGTCAGATTAAGATAACAACCAAAATAACATTATGTAAGCCTAAATATTTTTCTCATAGCTGGCAAAACTGCTTGGACATCTATTTGCCAAATCTCGAAGCTTACATAATATTATTTTAGCTAAATCTTAATAAGGACGTTTTGAAAAATAGACCCAAATCGGGCTTTTTAACTAGATAGGTAGTGCCAGACCAATCTTCGGACTGCCAAGGATATGGGAACTTGAATTGCATATGCAAAAGTTAGTATTTCCAATGGATCGGAAGCCCGAGAATATGTGTATAACAATGAACGTTAGTAATAGTAATGGCGAAATTCGCAATGGTCCGATTTACTTTTAAATCTCTCTATTTTATATGATCACCAAGGTAATCACTACGTTAGATAATTTGTCGGAAAAAAAAATCAAGTAGGAAAGAAATGTACGGTCTTTAAAATGGAGGCAAAGTCGGCGCAAGAATATCTGATTTTTAGTAAATTTATATGTATATTTTAATATTATACTTTTATAGAGGAGTTATACTTTAGTTTTTGTGATTTTCTTTTATTTTGCAAATATACTATGAAAACGAAATCTTATTATTTTGGGCCTGGACCGATCTTTTGTTTAAGGACTGTGGTTCCGCCCGCGCGTCTCGGTTCGGTCTGGACAAAAGATCGAACCGCAATTTTCACTAATGTCCATATCTGCTTCGTATTTTTTTCTCTTTAACATAATATTATTTTAATATCTCCTCGCTTGTCATGCGCAATCCAAAAACAAGTGCGCCATTTATTTTTCTTTAAAATATTTTTTAAACGTCGTGGTCCGAATATTCTCTCATTAAATTTCTTATAATTTCTTTTGAATATCTATTATTTGAAATTAAAAAGCAAACGATTTATAAATTCATTGAAAACCCTTTATAATTTGTTATAAATATTTTATCGCTATTTTTGATTTGACAGTTATAAATTCAAATCCATCACTTATTCATATATCCTTCCATTGTATTTAGGAAATAATTTGCCTATTATTTATCCAAATAAATTGCTTAACAACCGCTGAGCAAATCATTTAAAGTGATTGAGTGATTTATTTTCCCAAAAACCGCGGAGAGGGGCATTTAGGTTAAAAATCTGCCCATTGCAGACTTTAATAAGAAATACTATGTTTGAAATTCCAATAAATTAAATTGATGAATATGGCAATATATAGATATACTATTGAAAATTACTGAATTGATTCTCGAATTACTATTTCCGTTCATTTTATTTGTATCGTCTGGTTTCCTACCAAAATTATTGGGAGATGGATGGGTGGCACCTTTGGTCGCGAGGAATACGTTAGATTTATTTATCAAATCGTCTTTTTCGCGAGAGTTGGAAATTCCGTTTTTAAGACTATGTGAATCACTGGTTGGGGTGGAGCTCGGAGTGGACGACATTTTGCGAGCCACAAGCAAGGTAACTCTTTCGGGATCGGCTTTAATCATTTGAACCACCTGTTATAGAAATTGACGATTTAATGTTTAATTAAATGTTAATATTATTCTTAATAGAATCAAATCATCTGCCGTTTAAGGAGGAAAACATATTAATTTAAAACACGTTTTTAGCTATAGGTAAGAATAATATATTTTTAAAGAATCATAACGTGATTGGAAAATAGTAATTGCAAGAATTCTCTGCGAGAATAATTTCAAGAAAAAAAAGTAATCCTTTTAAACAAGTAGTAACGAATATTTTAGTGACCTTCTTATTATATTCTTATCTGGATAACAAAGTTTATACCAGCTTTCCTTTCATGTGAAAAAAAATGGACGCCATCATACGAGGAGGGAGTTCCCTGAAGGACGGATAGTGGACCAACATGTAAAATAAATGAATATATTGTTACAAGAAGGTATAAGGAAAATATCAGCTTGTAACAGGAACAAAAAATCGAGATAAATATAAGTAACCGGAAATATTTTAAAATTTACAGGAACCGGAAGCCATAAAAGTGCAAAAAAAATTATTCGAAACAGTAGATGGAATCTAGAGTAACCGCAGAAATTCTGAAAAAATATATTATAAATTTTTTGCATCCTTTATTTTTATAATAATAAAAAATAAACTTAATACAATTATGTTAAAGTTTTTATATAAACTTAAAATTCGATCAATTAATCCCAGATTACTAAATATCCAAAATCGATAAATTAACTCTTTTTCTTTTTTTTTTCAAATAAACTTAAAATATGTTACTCGCAAACCATTTTTCAAATCAAATACGACGTTGCAGTTATAAATCAAAAATCAAATTTACAAGTGACCTAAATAAGAGATTTTGCAGTTCGTAATCGTGTATTTTAAAATGGCCTATTTTAGAATATAAAATGAGATCTTAAAAAATTAGGGGTCCCGCCCACCCTAGCCCAAACGTAGCACATAAAACTTTATCTATAATTAATAGATGCTGACACAATTTTTGAAAGAGATGGGCAGCCATTTAATTTTCCATTATGGTAAAATATTGGCGAGAATATTAACATAATAACCCTTGGTGACCCTTCATAAAGACCAGTTATGTGAACTCAAATTAGGATTCGGAAAGTATAAACCACGTTTAACGTAAATTTAGACGATGTAAACTTAATAGGAAGATGGGCAGTCCATAAGTTGGTCCCTGATTGGTCTGCCTTCTCAAAATGTCCGACCAAACTATTTTAAATTTTTGAACCCTGATCCACAGAGACCTGGCGCGCCCTCGCCGTCGCCACATCGATAACTCTTTACCGCAAGCGTTCATTACGAATTATCGCGATCTTCTTAATTTACTTTGGCGTAATATGAATCCTAACATTTTTCTCAAATTTTCGAGAGTCGTTAAATAAGGTGATTTATTTTTGTCATACCATAATCATATAAAAAAAACTAGGTTTCGACAATTATACGTAATAATAGTAAATATATAGTATACAATATATATTATAATTATGCTAATTCAGGTTAATAATAATTATTACTTTTTTACTAAGAGAAAAAAAAATGATGATGTTAAAAAAATATACCGATGGAATGATTTTAAATTAACTCTTTTTATGTATAAGTATTTTAAATGATTTGCGCAAACTTTGGTTTGGAATATAATCGCTCCCCGCGTTATCCTCGTCACTCACTTATAGTTTTTTTTTTTTAAACTCATTTATAATAATAATGTCTATTTTTTTTTCTTCAAAGTAATATAAAATGGTGTCAACAAAAGTTTAAAAGAAGCTTCAGAAAGTCGCGTTTTTTAAAAAAGAAAAATTAGCGCTCGGATTAAAAAAGAAGAATGTTAAATTTAAATTATGAATATGTCTTTTGATGTATTTTATTAACGTAAATGGATCTTGGAAGAGTCAAAAAAAACAAATGAATAAATTAAAATTAATACACAGAAGATTTCGCTATATAAATAGGCCTACTATTCGCTTATATTTAAGGTATAACGAATTCATCTTTCTTTACCTTTTTTATAGGGCTTGGTAATTTTTATAATTATTTTGTAATTAATCGATATCATTTAATTAGTTCAAGTAAATTTATAAATTCATTGTATTTTAGCAAATTATAATTTTTAGAAAATCGGATAAGGTTGATTTAATCTATTTTCAAAGGAAAGTTTTGTGGGCAAATATTTTGGGAATTTTTTTTAAAAAAATAACACTAAATTTAACAAAAAAAAGGGTGTTTATTTTAGCAAGTAAAAAATGGTTCCCGTTCTAAATCGTTAAACAAAAATCGCTAAAAATTGGGAACATGGCTTATATCTCCTAGAAAAATTTTTAAGTAAATTTGAAATTAATATTAATAGATACTAGGGGAATTAAATACTTGTATTTAAATTTTTATTTTAAAAATTTTATAGGAGATATAAGCCATGTTCCCAATTTTTAGCGATTTTTGTTTTAGCGATTTAGAACCTATCCCGTAAAAAATATAGAGGAACAAAAAATTCCAGGTAAATTGATAATGATCTTCTTTTTTTCTGGGCTATGGCTCTTGTAAAATCCCAAACTTTTGGAGCAAAAATCTTAGAAGGCCATAAAATCGAAGATTTGGAATTTTAGAGTAAAATTTGATCAAATATATCCATTATTTGAGCATTCTCAAAATTGCATTTCAAATTCTGATTACGGGTCGGTTTTAGCGATAAAACATTTTAATAAAAATATGCTCACTTATACATAATTTTGGACTGTTTAAAAAGTTCAAACCGCCCTTATTTATTTTGTAAAACCTCAAAAAAAAAATTTTAAAACGCGTAACAAACCTTATCATGCGTATAGTCCTGCACCGGTGTATCGTTAACTTTATACAAGGCGTCGCCGGCTTTGAGACCGGCTTTTTCGGCGGGGGAGCCGGAATCAACCGAACCCACAAAGTGCTTGCCTTCGAACGGGGTACCCAAACCGGGTTGATCGTCCAGGGCTCTAGACGCGTCTTCCAATATGATAAATGAGCGACCGGCACCGGAAAGTGACGACTGTTCACCGTTATCGGTCGGTGATTTTGACGAAGTTGAGGCTTTGTTTTTTGGCTGATGAGGCGGCGCGTCGCGCAGATCAAACCCGTAACCCTTAAAGTTACGGTCGGTTATGAGAGAGCATTTGACGAACGTGGCTGCCTGATTGCGCGGAATGGTTAGGGATTTTGAAAGGGATTTCTATTTTCATAAAATAAATTAATAAAATCAATAGTAAAATACATATTGAAAAACATAATCAAATAATTTGTAATAAAAAACATATAAGTTAAAAAAAATATTGTTTTTAAGATTATAAAAAATTTTTATTCCCTTTTTATTTGAATGTGTAAGTGTGGAATAGTAATGTTGTTTTTTTCATAATGGTTTCAAAAAATTAACATTTAAAAAAAAATACAATACAGCCAAATTTCTTAGACAAATTTTATCGATGTTTAGTTCAGAATTTGAATTTACTTTTAAAATACATCTTATCTAAAAAGATTTTCGGAATTTTTAGGCATAATTTGATCAAAAATTTCTGTTCCTCAAAAAGAAATCTTCAAAGATTTTTAATCATTTTTTAAATGGACACCTTTTTGCAGTTTTTTTTTCAAAATGAAATTGACCAAATTACTCAGTGTTTTCTGTTGAAGCTAGATTTTTTTTAAAAAAAAAAATTATATAAGTTATCCAATCCCAATTTTCAATTTATATATTAATTTCTTTTTTTTCTAAAAAATTGGAATTAAAAATTACTTATTCGAGTGAAATATGCGCGCTAAAAAATCAAGCGCTTCAAGTTTAATGTACAGGCAATTTCTTTTAGATTAGTCCACTAGAAACACAGGCTGGATGAAAAATTTGCCTTATACCTTATGGAGGGAGGGGGGGCAGTAGTTCTAGGCTTTAAAGAGTGGGGGAGAGGAGTAAAATATATACACTCACCCACATCCCCCTTCAAAATAAAGAAGGGTGTCTCCTAAACGCTTTGTTCCGAATCGATAGCAAAAATGGGAGCTTATCGACTCCACCAACTCATTCGCGCCATTTATTTTAATCTATTTTTTTCCACCTTACGATTAAACTTCAAAAATATTTATTTTTATAATTTTGGCAGGTTAATTAAATAATTAATTCTCTTTTTATTTTAATTTTTTTTTTCAAGGTGAACTAACAGAACCTTTTATATTTAAAAAAAAAAAAATTAAATAACTTTCATTTATCCAAAAAATTTTTTAAAATTTATATTATTGTTTATTTCCCCCAATTTCGCGCTTAAAAAAAGATATCCATCCAATCAAATATTACGGCGAAAATTTTTTGCGCATAAATCCATATTCGCCATTTTATTAGTGATGATCAAAATTCAAATATAATTCAAATATTACCGAAATTCGCTATTTTTTCGCATTATAACTTACATTATAATAATTGAAGATCTTTATATAGTTAACGACGATATTTGAAGTTATATTTATAGTTATAAGCATATTCATTTTTTTTTCAAAAAGTAGTTGCCATTATTCCTGTATTTAATATTTGAGGCAAAATATGGTTGGTTGTTCTTGTCGATAAATTTTGAGGTCGCAACCTTATATACTAATCGTGTAAGAGATTTTATTGAGGGACATTATATTTAACCTGATTAGTCCAAACTCAAGGAAATGCCGTTACGACAGCTAATTTTAATAAATTTTTTATTGGTCTATTTATAATCACAGTCAGATTTGGCATGCTATTTACTAAAACTGATTACATTTTTTGATTAAAATCCATTTTTAATACATCTTATCCCCTAACCCATCTCTCTAATCTTTAATTCCACTTCTTACTTTGGGTAAAATTTCCTTCAGTTAAACACTTCATTGAGTCGAGCTATTACAATTTAACCTTGGCAACATATTTAACATCCGATTATGCGCATATTTGGAAAATAGTAGAGTCCCCCCTTCCACTTAACAAATTAGGATGGAAAAATTATAATGAAAGAACAAAGTTGCTAATTCCAGGATAAACTAACAGGAGAATGCAAAAAAGAATATTATATTTCTTTTTTATTCTTATTGTTTCGTTCCTCCTATCCTATTTACTTTTCTTTCTTTTCTTAGTTACCATAATTCCGTCATAAAAGGGATATACTTTTATAAGTCGGTTAAGTCCTGCATTATATTATCCGGCCGATTCGTTCAAATATACCCGAATTCAGTCCGAATCTGAAAAGAAATTAAGGAAAAATATTGTACTGAAGAAGAAAAAAAAGTGAGCATTTTTATTTTCAATGAAATAGGAAAAATTATAAGTGCCCGAGGAAAATAAATCTTTAAAAAATTATTTATATAAAAGTATTATTAGACCAGAATAATTAAAAATTTTGTTGAGGTCCAAATCCAGCCAGATTTTAAAAATCAAATTGGGCGACCCAACGGTGTTCGAGAAAATGTCTCAGCAACACCCTAAACCCCCATTTCATATAGTCAGCTGCTATATAATGCCAGGGTGGGCTCAGGCTACCAATTGCCGGTTTAATCCAATTCCAATGTACACAGAGAAAATGCAAGCTTAGTTTAAAGTTTACCATTTTTATTACATAGCACGTCAGAGATGAGTGTAGAGATATTATTTTTTTATATATAATGAATTTATTCATAATTTCGGGTCTATATTTTGACACTTTAAGATTATCAGCACTGGTTGAATGCTCGAAAACGGCAATGGCTGCCTATTTCATCCTTTTCTCGAAATTCTAAATAACTATGCTATTCGACTAGAATAATAGACTCAAAAAAATAAGAATAAGCGAGGTACATCTTATGCATATTTTAAAGGTACCATATCCTCGTGTCAAAATCTGTCAAATAAAATATAAAAACGGAAAAATGGCGTCAAGAGGTTTTTATTTAAAAAAATAATTAAATAAGCTGAGGTATTTGTGATTAAAATGATTCACCATAAAACAAGACACAATCCCAATAAATAATGATGAAAAAAAGAATACAGAAAAGAAACTAATAAATTAGAAATAATGGCCACAAGTGCCCCGTATCGAGAAAAAAAACTTTGTAAGGTGTTGTACGTATAGTGCTTTTTAGGCTGTGTCCAAAATCTTTTTTCAAATATTCGAAAAGTTTTAAAACTTTCAAATTAAATTTTGAACATGTATTTTATATTTTATAATTTTTTTAAGAAAAGAGAAGCTTTTATTTGTACTATTTCGATAAAGTTTCAAAAGTTTGCGAATCGAATTTTTTTCGATATTTTGGGCACAGCCTTATATAAACTAAAAATGCCGACATTGCATATTTATATTAATTTCAACCTAATTAAAAGAATAAATGAAAATTAAATAAAATAAATATTTTAAAGGAAGGTTACCTCAGGTAACAAAATAAAATTTACATATATCGCATCTAAATTAATTTCGTTTCGCAATTTACGGATTGCATTTTATTCTAATAAAAAGTAATTATAACAAATGTTTATTTGTTATAAAACACCACATCATAAAACGATATGATTTATTGCATGTTTGCGATGAATTTGAAAAAATCTACCACCTTCCAATTTCTTTCTTTCTTTTCTTCCCCTTTCTTTCTTTTGTCACTTTCTAGCTTTTTATTACATTTTTTTAAAGTAGATAATCGTTGAGGATAAGGTTAATTTTTTTTATTTCTGTCAAAGTTCATTCTTTATATTTAATTTACTAGATATTATTTTTATATAACACAAATTGAATTTATTACATAATTACGCGATTGCGTAGTACAATATAACACAATAAAAAGCAACACACGTCTGATTAAATCATAATAAGGGATTTTTTTTTATTAACTAGGAAAATCAAAAATAAATGGTTATTGTAAAAGTTAGATTCAAAAATAACTGATTTTTTTAAAAAATAATATATCATATCGATATTTTAAGTTTTAGAATCGATGCCAATCTGATTTTATTATGATCGAGAAAAAACTGGTTTCCGGTGATTAGTTATAGGGTTAAAAATTTAAAATAAATTTGTTTGTTCATTTTCGAATCTGATTGGATAAGAAATTTTGGCAACCTAATACATCTGTGACGTGTACAGTCTTTTTGATTTATTTAAAGGGATGACATGAGGGTACATAAATTAAAGCTGACTACAAGAATCAAGGTAATAATTTTGTGGGCTTAGATCGATGATTCGTATAATGTATGGGTTCTTAATATAATGTTTTGGCTGTTGGTGATAGTCTTACAGGTCTATCATCAACCGATGTTTCGCTAATAACCAAGCAGGTACAGTGCAATATAAATTCGTAATGATTATGTCCGCATCTGTTATAAAAATGCGAAGATATACATTATATCACTTCCAAATGACGATTAAATGAAATATAATTAACAACCTGAGTTGTCCATGGATGGGAGATTAAGAGAACAACGGAATATATTATAATGGGGAGGGGTGATCATATGATCGCTGATAGAATTATGTATGATGGTAGATGATTGATAGAAATAGAGGCTAAAATGTGAGGAGTCAAACTATGTAACTAGCAAATGGTAGTGGCAACGGGAAGTTAACAACCTGCGTTTTCCAAGGAAGGGAATCTGTGAAACCCGTAATATCTTATACCGGAAGGGTTAAGTCAGGTGATCAGAGGATGATAGAAATATAAATAACAAGCAAAGAGTTAATCTATGTGACTAGCGGATGGTAGGAATCGATATACTCGCGGCAATAACTTTTATCAATTTTTACGCTAAATAAAATCCATAATAATATTCACGCGCCGGCGCCTAATACCCGTAGCGGAATAATTGGGTAATTGCTCTTATAATGTCATCTTCGCCTCAAGAGGCTTTTTTTCTTTAAAAAATATAACTCGACATTGAAGAAAGCAGACTTATAAAATATTCTTCAGCACGCGGCTGTATATCGAGCAGAATAACCATATTTTTGCTCACAACTTTTAATTAAAATCGGGCTGTAGCATGATCTTTCGGGGGAAAAAAATAAATATAATGGGTAAATTTAATCCCAAATTGATGAAAAGGAATCTTTTGCACAAATATAAATGATAATATTCATGTTTTAGATGTGGGGGAAATCGGATAAGTAAATTAATGTTGGCTAAAATATTGAATTAGCTGTTTTATGAGCCGTTTAACAACATTAAAGTAAATAAAGGTACGCAGGACAATTTTATGTTAAAAATAAACTTTTTAAGTCTAAAAAAAATAATAAACCTCATGTAGATAATTATGATATACATCTATAGCGAAAAAATATTTAATTATACAAATGTCAATTCACATAATAATTTTACAGTAAAAAAAAAAAGTAGGTTGTTATACCCTAAAAAAATATGAACATTTTATTTTAATATATCTTTCGTCTAGAATTTTAATAAATATGAGTGAAGTACCACAAATTTTATATTATAGAACGAAAACTTATAAACTATTACACCATCTGTGCGAGCTTGATATTATAATTAGAGATTTGCGAAAGTAAAAAAAAATGGGGTTGGGGCTAGATCGAGTCTTATATTTTTTTAAAAAAATTCGGGACGGGTCAGTTCGGGTCTCAGAATTTTTTTAAAATATATCTAAATTTATCAATTTTATGTTTAATTTTTTATTTAAATTTAAAATATTCGATTTCATTTATAGAAACTAGACGCCATATAACATCTATCTTTTATTTTGAGTAATTATAAAAATTAATTTCTCTATTTAAATAAATTCGGGTCGAGTCAGGCCGGTAAATAATCTCGGGTTCGAGCCGGGCCGGCAAAACTTTTTTAAAAAAATTTCGAGTTCGGGCCGGGCTTGAAAAATTAGGCCCGATGCAGATTACTAATTATAATAGCTAGTATTATGTAGTTTCATCAGATGCATAACCAAGGGGGAGGGGGAATCCCCGTTAACAAATTTTGCTTGTTCTTTCTAGTGAATATCATTTTAAGCTAATAAAAAATTTTCCCCTTATACCCGTTCCCACCTCATCTTTTTCAAAAATGTATACAATGAATTTTTTTTAGTAAAGTAAATAACTTTATAACAACGACTATAATTGAAAATATTGAAAAACATTTTTTTATAAAAAAATGAGTTAAACCCCAAAATCATTTTTATATAAAAATTTATGGCCGAAAACTCCGTCTAATAGTGCCCCCTATAGGAAAATCCTGAATACGCCTATGAGTTTCATTTTTTTTTTGTAAAAGTAGTAAGCTAGTGGCACGTCGGACAGAGACATGTAGGATAATTTATGCCAATCAAATCATTATTTCTAACCAATTTCAAGTGGTGCTAACTCATATAAAAAAGCTGCAAATAAAATTACTAAGCAATTAGTTATAAGAATCTAACGTATGGGTTTAGATCAAATATTTTAATTTTATTATTCATTCTATCTATTAATTAGTTTCCCCAAAATATTAAGAAAACAATGCCATTTATAAGCTACGGCACCCAGAAAAGACAATCGTTCTATATGTACCCAGTAACTATGTTCAATGTGCCATGTCTTTCAATGCACTTGAAAATTTTAAATATTTTACAAGGGTTAATTTATTTATATATTTTTTTAAATTGGCATAAATATTAGGGATGGGAATTAGTTAGCTACAAAATAGCTAGTCATTTATAATTTACGGTTAAATCCGGTCCAATATGCCCCGACTCCCGGTTATTTTAATTGATTTACATTATAAAGATGAATAAAATTTGTAAATTTAAATTAAATAGTTAGAAACACGTTCCGGAACAACTGGATGGGAAAAATAAAAAATTAATGAATAAAATTTGCGGATTATATAAAATTGAAAAAAAAAAAATATTTACAAGAACGTTCCAAAACCTGAATAACAGGAAGGATTTGGTCACGACTGAAATGGAAAAATATTTTCAACCCGTAGGGCCGTGCTAAGACTTGAGGGGTAGGAAGAACCCCGATTTTCTAAGCTTTAAAAAAATAGATAACGAACTAAATTTTAATTAAATGGGATCGGAAAATAAGCGGCATAGAATAAGAATTAGGTAATATTGTGAAGTATTATTATGGTAAAAATATAGATATTTTTTTTAATAATTGACTTGAATTAGGTTAATATTTAAAAGCATAAACTATGTAAAATTCACATTTTTTTTCTCAAAAAAAATATAAATTTGGCAGTCTACAAAATATTCCTTCTTTTAGCGGCCCGACGCAGCCACCTTAGCGTTTGCGCAGACGTGATCCGGATCCCTGGTTTTTTAATTATTAAAATAAAAGGCAGAAGAAAAAAAAAATTTTTTTTAAATAAAATAAATTTATCCAGTTGACCTTGTCAAGGATTAACATTAATTTTTTTCTCTTTAAATCTGGCATGCATGAATATATATATATTTTAAAAAAATCAAATTAAATTGATATTTCGATTTTATCTTTAAAAGGATATCATCATTTTTTTTATCCTTCAATTTTCATTCATTCATTATTTTGCTTATATTTTTATTTTAGGCTAGTAATAAATCCCGTTGGACCATTTGCTAAACAACAACCAAATTTTATTAAAAATTACAAAAAAAACTTTTTTTAGAAATAATTGCGGAATGACGCGGTCACATCCGATATTTTGTATATCATAGGTTGACTTCAGAAAAAAATATATGGTATTTGCTGGATTCGATCCCAAATCTATTTTCTTTCGTATTCACACAAATTGAACTTTTACGTTTTGCCATAATTTTTTAATAAAAAAAAATCGTAACGCATCCCTTGTTTAAATGTTTTAATTGCCTTTTTTTAATTAATATCGTCAATTATAAAAAAAAGGATTTTGAAAATTATATTAATCGTCTGCCTTCTTATTTTTTTAATTTCTAAATATTCCTTTTAAGGATATAAGTAGGTTAATTATATTACATTTTTATATAATATTACAAAGCAAAGAATTTTAAAAAAGTAATGAAAAAGTTTGCGTTTTATAAATGGTTGCTAACGCCAAATAGTAATTATACCAGCATGAGGCCATTTGAAATGCATTATTTGGGCTTGCAACGCAGCGTTTGAAACGCTCAATTTGTGCGCACTATGACAGGGTTAAATATTTTATAAAAAACATGCAAAAAAAATCACAGTTTTCGACAGGGTTTATCACTACTCATATTTTCATCAATCTTCAAAAGTTATACTTTTACTTATCGTCAACAAACAAGCTTAAGATAGCTGTAAGCCTAACAAGACAAAAATATCAAATAAATATGATAAATAGAAAAACAAACGTGTTTTTTTCAATTTTGTTTTTTATATTAGTACTTACAATTCTTATTGAAAATATAATCTGCCAATATTTATGTAAACTCATCTCAAATATTATATACCAATATTTTGTGGGAAATTTTTTATCATCAACTATCATTATATATCTCACTCATTTTGTTAAATTGAGTTTATTCATATATTAACATTCCTTATTATTTTTAGATGAAATTATTTTATAAATTTTAATTAGTTTCAAAACATCGTTAAAATAATTTTTTAGGCATGCTTTTTATTTTGTTTTGTTTTTCCCCCATTAACATTTTTTTAAAAAGTTTTATTGTTTTAAACAACCCTAAATGTAACCTTAAAAAATAACGAACTTTATGCATTTGGCAGACAAGATATATTATAACTAAAATTTAAGAATTATTCCCCCAAAAATATATATTATTAATCAAAAATTTAAAGCCAGGAAATATTTTGTATAATAATATTTTTAAAGCAAAATATAAAATAATTATTAAAAGGAAACATTTAAAATGCTTCAAGTGTTTTTTATTTCCAAAAAAAAATAATTTGATTAATAACTTTTTTTTTATCAAATTATGCCTAGGCTTTAAGGTATTTAATTTCTCTAAATTAATTACATTTCATAACTTATAAGACTACATAGATTATGTCAAAAAAAAGTATAATAATCAGAATTTTTATTCATGCATTCAAGATGATGCAAACTAGCACAATTTTAATTTGTTGTAAAAAATTTATTTATATCAAGGTTGTCTATTTTGTCAAAAGAAAATATGCTTAAAGTGTGTTATATATGCTATTTTAATAGCTAAAAGAAAAAAATTTGTAAATATGTATCTGGATTATAAGACAATATTTATTACTAGACATATCACATTTATTTTAAACTAAATAATTTATACTTTTGCATTTATGTTAGGTAGGTTTTTATTTGCATTTATATTAACATTGGTTGTATCTTGATTTGCAGTGTTTATTGTGTCCCCACTAGGATTATTTATGTTAATGATGCTTTCCCTTTTAGGTTTATCTGCTTTAATGTAAAGTATATTTTTTAATTCACCATTGATTGGAATATTTTCTTCTTCAAAGTATTGATCTGTGACTTGGTCAACAACTAGTAATTTAGCTTCATCAGGATTTTCTTTAATTGAATTCACAACTTGAGCATGAGTGTAATTTACAACACTTTTACCATTTACTTCAATGACTCTATCACTTTCTAAAAGGCCGGCCAAAGCTGCAGGACTTTCTTCTTCTATGTGGCCTATATAATGGCCCGTTTTATGTTTTTCTGCATGTAAATTGAAACCATACCCATCAAAACTAGTCCACTTGAATAAATGACATAATCGAGGCCTCCGACCTGAATCCATAATATCTTTAATTTAATAAAGGATACAAAATTTTGTTTGAGATTAAAACATTTAGGATAAGAAATCCAGGGTGGTTAAACAGATGAGGGAATGTAGAAAATTTTGGATTTGAATGATGAGAATTTTAATTTGTTCCAATTTGTATCACGTAGGAAAACAAAGCTAAAAAATATAAAATTATATAGCAATATAATATTTTATTCATCTCATTTATCTAAGTTGATATAAATAATAATAATAATAACTTAATAACAACAAAAATATTAAATTAGTAATTATTCTTTATAAAAGTTTTGAAATGCCCATTTTTGATAATAATATTAATTATTAATATTTGTTCCCCAGTTTAGTAATGATATTGTAGGTTAAGGATAGAAACTTTAAAGTGGAATATATGAGAACTTAGGGATAATCTTTACAAAAAATGTAATCGATTATTTTAGAAAGTTAGACAACATTTTAAATTATATATTTTGGATATCATATAATGCCGCAAGCTGTCACAATGAGTGGATGGGGGCTGTACTGTATAATGCAAGATTGTCTTAAAGTCAAATGAGGAACGTGGGGTTGGGATATTAAATTTCCTTTTTGTTAATTTGGAGTTAAATTTCCTTTTAAAATTTTGATTTTAATTTCTTTTTTTATGATATTTTTAAATCAGATTTTTTTACAAATTTTGTTGGTAGGGCATAGAATGGTGTTTCTATTTATTATAATGTTATGATTTATTAATTTATTTCCTATCCCTTGAAAATTGTCCGAATAGAATAAAATAGAAATAAATAATTAAAAATAAAAGAGACCCACTCCTTTGTCACATATTAACACCGATAACTACAAGAGCCATGTCAGACAACATACAGCTTTAAGTAGAGTTGAATATAGTTAAAAAAACGTTAATCAATCAGGCAGAGACCACAGACAAGGTTACCAGTCTAAATTCAAAATAGAGTCTGATTAGAGGACATCGCAATGAAAGGAAGTTCTGAACGTAAACCGCAAAACATCTTTGACAAAAATTTCAAAGGATTAGAAGTTCCGGTTAACTTCTAACATGATTATATAATTCTACCTCAAATCATCGGTCTCACGACGGAATTCATAGACAATATCATAGTTGAAAATGATAAGAAAAACTAATTAGAATAGCTAAACATTTATCAATGGAATTTGTCTGGCAGAAAGGTTACTTAAGCCTTCATTAATAGGGTGATGTCTGTGAATTCCCTCCGGTAAATATTGATTGAAGGAGCTGAGCGAAATAAGTTTTTACTTAAATAGCGCAGAAGGGTCAAGTCTATGCGAAGTCGAACTCCTCCTACATTGGCAGGAACGCCATTTCGCATGCCCCAGCCCACAAATATGAACAAAGAGTTGGAGCAGACTTCAACCGTTCTAATATTCAACCATTTATGACCTCGACTAAAATCGTCAACACGTATGAAGTCAAGTAAGCTCCCAAGTCTTCCTAATCTCGAGGCGCCGGAACTAAGAAAGGGCGGAAGCCCATAGCCTATCAGTAAACTTTTGTAGCCCCCCCTCCCCCCATTCCCTATTTGCGGAAGCCTTGGATCCCTGGGCGGACACCTGGATCTCTAAGATTGGACACGACAAACTTTGCATCTGAATCTTAGACGTAAGGTGCCAGAAGTTTTCGCCCTGACCGAAGGAAAAAGATCATTCCCCCCGTGGGAGATATTTAAGCCCCCCCCCCTCTTCTAATTTCAGTAAACTTTAATATATATTTGATAAAAATTTTCTTAGTTTTTGTTCTAAAGTTGCATCAATATAATTAGAGCCTGCGTCTGCATCAGAATATTTACTGGGGGCACCCCATCCCCCATTTGCTACAAATTAGAAGTTTTTAATTATGATAGTTATCCTTTCATAAATTAAAAAAGAATAACTTAATTATCAATACTCTATCGTAAACTATTAAACAAATTCTTAATGTAAAAGAGCTGCACATCCTAGAATATAGGTATAATAATGTAGAATATAGGTGTAATAATTGAAAATGTATTAAATTATCAAGAAAGGATAAAGTGCGAAATACAAGAATACTAGGAAGTTTAAAGGTAGTGCCTCTTAAGACTAAACGGTGAACAGACTTAGGTGGTATGGACATGAGAAGGCCTATGAACTATATAAGAAAAAAGGTTGAGAGTTTGGAAGTGATGGGCAAACGTAAAAGAGGAAGGCCAATACTTCAATGGGACCATAAAGTTAGAGCCAATATGAAGAATTATAAATTAGATAAAAGAGATTGTAAAAGTGGAGAGAGATATTAAAGGAGCTTACTACCAGAAAAGATGAAAGCTAAAAAGAAAAAAAAAATTCTACACATATTGTAAAAAAATTATATTATTTAAAATAAGTATTGTTAATAATGTGAAATAAAAAATCTTTATTTTATATAGAGTCCATTAGACTTGGTTTGGTAAGTGATTTTATAATTTTTTGTCTAGTAAGCTTATGGTTACCAATTTCTTTTTATGAATTAAATTTTTTTATATATTTAAGTTCGTTTTTTATCATTGTTATTTATGTTTTTTTTACATCCCTAGATATAATGTTTAGGTGGCACACAGAGGAATCTCTTAAGACTTTTTTAATGTAATATTTTGAAATACATTAAAAAAAATTTATGACATTACGCATAAAATAATCATATTATATATATAAAGTGTGTGTTAATCTTTAATTTAAATTTAAACAATTAAGGTTCCTTTATATATATATACTAAGCCTTAAATTCAACTATTTTTTTTAAAAAATTGGTGCATAATAACGTGGAAGTGTTATATAGTTCATTCAAATCGAAAATTACTATCCTGTAATAAATATTAATAATTGGTATAATTTACTAAATTGTTTAATATACATGATATAAGTATAATATGGCTTCATTATATCTGTAAAAATTTTCTTTGTATTGGAAATTAGAATATTCGAAGCTAAGTGCTAATACATGTATTCCAGAACTAGATAAACATCTTGTAATACAAATTACATTCATGTTAATTCCATTTTTCTTATTCAGTGTTGTTGACTTAAGGAAGGGATCGTCTCTAAGATATGGGCAGAGTTTGGAATGGTCTTCAGGGAACCAACTCGAAATAAATATCTGTTAGGGTTCAGATAAAAATAACGTTTCCTAAAAAATATGTAAAACGTTTATTTTATTATTAGTTAACTGTTATTAGTTTATATATTTGTATAGACAGATATAATATCAGAGTTGGAAAAAGTATCTAGATACAGATACAGGTTCTTTTTAAAATATGAATCTTAGATAGAGATACTAGTATCTTTTTCAAAATATCAAGAAGATACAAGATAAAGATACTTGTATCTTTTACTAAACTAGAGTATCTTAAATACAAGATACTTTTTATTATCATTACCAATTAAATTAGAATAGTTTATAAAATACAGTTTTTTTTATTTATTTGTGAAGAACATAACATACTCATATAATAAGAATGAATATTTACAATAATTAATAAAATATTTATTGATGAATAAATTATAATAACCAGAGATTTTAATATAAGCTTTTGCCCATTATTAACAAGAAAGGTAGTATATTTAATGTGAGTTAAAAATTTGCAAAATAAAAAAAAATTAAATCTATTTTTTAAAATAATTAATTTTTCAAATAATTTATCATTGAGCCTTTGCCTTTTTGGCGTATTTAGCATTGTGCCAAAACTAAATAACCTCTCAACAGAAGCTGATGAAGGTATGGCAGTATTATATTTTAAAAAATTTCCTTAATTAAAGGATAAAAAAATTAGGATTTCTGGTGTTTTTTGGTAATTTTTAATATAATTTAAAACCTAGAGCTCAATGTAGTTTGTATTGTTGAAAACTCAACAACATTTGCTTTACCAAAAGAAAAATAATCATCATTTTCTTTATTAGATACTAAATCTACTGGTGAGATAGCATGAGCTTGATTGAACACTATAGATGCCAGATTTAAGGCTTCATTTAATAATATATTTTAAAAATTTTTTATTATCAGATTCAATCCATAGGTTCTTAAAATATGGATGTGATAATGATGCCAAAAAGGCCTCATTATATTCATCATCATAAGAAAAAAATTTCCCAAATCTTTTGCCCATGGCATTTTGGACAGCTTTTAATAGAGGTAGACAATATTGTAAACTTGAATGTTCAAGTTTACCTAATTCCCTTTCAACTACAAATAGTATGGGCACTAATTCCCCAATGTACTACTCTGCCCTTGTAGTTTGTCTAATGCAATTGCTATAGGGCCTAAAACTTTACAATATTCCTCCATATAAACAATATCCATTTCTTTTAAATTAGGACAATCAATTGTTTCAAATAATAATTTTAAATCTGATTTATATATTAATAATTAAGTCATACTATCATATAAACTGTTCCATCTCGTTATGCATGGAACCTTTAGCTGAATACCACCTGTTATTTCCCTTATCTTTTCAGAAGATTTGGTCCTTCCACATGCATTCCATAATTTTGTGCATTTCCCCATTAGTCCATAATGAATCTTTTCTCTTCGAGCTTGATATTGATGAAATAATATCTTTAATTGCAATTAAGGACAAAGTGTGGCAGGCACATCTGATGTGCCTGGGTAATATTATTTTGTTTATATCATCTAAAGATAAAGATTTTAAAAATTTCTAAAAAAAATCTGTACTAACCATCATTGATATTATTAAACTCTAATAGATCAAAATCGTTGTCAATAGCATTTAATTTCACACCATATTCACTAAATGACTTTACAAAATTGGATGCATTATCTGTGACAGTAGCAATTAGTTTATTAGAAATCCCATACTCTCTATAGACTTCTTCCAATAACTCGGAAATTTTATCAAATCAATGTGTGCCAGGCATTCTTCTACATGCCAAGGCTCTTGATTGCCTTTCAAGGGTTTCACTTGTTATCTTTGAAAATAATTTATAAAAAAAATTAAAAACGATATAAATACCCAGTGAGCTGTTATTCCCATAAAACCACGGGTTTTTGTAGACCACAAATCTGCCGTGGTACAAATATATGATTGAACCTTTAAAATATTTTTTAAAGTATCATGATTTTCAAAAATTTCCTCTATTCTTCT